GCGAGCCGGGGCCGGGCCGGGGCCGGACCTGGCCTTTCCCCGAGCTCCTTCTGGGGTCAGCCCGCTTTCGACCTGTCAGCTGGCCGTGGACTGCGGCGCCAGCGCGGCCGCTCTCCGAAGGTTGGGGCCCTGCTGGCGACTCCCGCGACGCTTCCTGATGCTCCCAGGTGCGCGGCCCCGAAAGCGACCCGGGCCCCCACGGTGCGGCCCCTGCACCCTTTCCGGCGGCCGTTTCTCGGGTGCCCCCCGTTGTCACTGCCTCCTGGGCGAGGGGCGCGCCAGCGTTCCAGGCTGACGTACCCCGCCCACTCTCGCGGGCCGCGCGTCCAGCTGCCCATCGCTGGCCTTAGGCGTCACCGGCGCGGCCCCGCGTTCCCGCCTTTCTCCCGGACCCCGTCCTCGAGGGGCAGTGCCGCCCGCAAGGCGGGCTCCTTAGGGCCGCCCCAAAGGACATGGCTTGGCAGGCAGCGCGGAGGGAGCCCTAGATCTGAAACGAGCCTGGCCCACGTTGCAGGCCTTGCGTCAGTGCGGCCACCAGACGCAGGTGCCTTCTCTGGACACGGGTCCAGATCTGAGAGGGTGTCGCGAAATGTTTTTCTCCCACTTGTTGCCGCGCGGGTCAGGGGCGGTGCCAGGCGTGGGCATCCAGCTGTCACCGTAGAGCCCTCTGCCATCTCCTCCCCCCAGGTCTCCGGGCCAGGGCCATGTTCCGGACCGCCGTGATGATGGCCGCCAGCCTAGCGCTGACTGGGGCCGTGGTGGCTCATGCCTACTACCTCAAGCACCAGTTCTACCCCACTGTAGTCTACCTGACCAAGTCCAGCCCCAGCATGGCGGTAAGTGAGCCCCGCCCGCTAGGGAAGGGGGCGGGGCTGGAGGGTAGGTAAGTAGGGGAGAGGAAGTGGGCACCAGCTGTTGGACTGTGACTCCATTTAGGGGTGCTGCTGGGGGTGCTCCTGAGTGAGGAGCTGCAGGCAGATAAGCAGTGAGCGACTTCAGACTCAAGCCCCTCCCCTCCCCAGGTCCTGTACATCCAGGCCTTCGTCCTTGTCTTCCTCTTGGGCAAGGTGATGGGCAAGGTGTTCTTTGGGCAGCTGAGGGCAGCGGAGATGGAGGTAAGCTGGGGACAGTCCCGAAGGTGAGGGACAGGCAGTTGGGGAAGCCACATGGCAGCTTGTCAACGTCCCTTGTCCCCCACCCCCCAGCACCTCCTGGAACGATCCTGGTACGCCGTCACCGAGACCTGCCTGGCCTTCACGGTCTTCCGGGACGACTTCAGCCCCCGCTTTGTCGCCCTCTTCACCCTGCTGCTCTTCCTCAAGTGTTTCCACTGGCTGGCTGAGGACCGCGTGGACTTTGTGAGTTTAGTCAGGGGCTGCTGCAGAACAGCCAGAAAGCCTGAGGGGCTGCTGGGGCTGGCTTAGGGAAGCGGGATGACCCCGGCCTTGCTGACGGGCACCCCATCTCTGATCTGCCTCAGATGGAACGCAGCCCCAACATCTCCTGGCTCTTTCACTGCCGAATTGTCTGTGAGTCGGATTCTTGGGCAGGGAGGGGGAGGGGAAGGGGCGCATCCATGGAGGACCAGAAGGGACCGGTCAGTCACTGTGGGCCTGTCCCCAGAGTGCAGGCTATCCCCTCGCCCCACAGCTGTGCAGGAAAGATAATTTGGGACATGAATTTGCATGTCTCTCCGCCCTGTTCCCCTCCAGTGCCTCTCACTGCCTGGGCCCTCAGCTCTGCTCACTTGGAGCTTGGGCTGCCCCGGTACACCCCCGGAGCAAAGCCCTAGGGGGGCTGGGTTTGGTGGAGTGCGAGTGCTGTGGCTAGGGCTACAGCAGATGGTGGGCTTGGGGTGGAGGCTCCCTAGAGCAGGAAATGACTGTCCCGGCATTGATGTCACCCCACCCCCACTTGGGGGTGGTCCCCACAGCCCTCATGTTCCTTCTGGGTATCCTGGACTTCCTCTTCGTCAGCCATGCCTATCACAGCATCCTGACCCGTGGGGCCTCAGTGCAGCTGGTGTTTGGCTTTGAGGTAAAACTGTCCTGGGAGATCAGAGACAAGCCTGAAGCGGCACTGTAGGGGCCAGCCCCAGATAACCCAACCTGCTCTTTCTGAGCACCTGCTCTGGCCAGCCCTGCCCGAGTCGCCGCTGGGTGATTGGCAGAACCAAAGAGTCAGGTGGTTTGGCCAAGCAGTCCTGGCTCGGGTACTGGAGGCAGGCTTCCTGAGGGTGGTGCCAGAGCTGACTGAGAAGCACAGGAGGCACCACTGGCTGAGTGAGCCGGTGAGCTCAGTCTGTGGGCAATCATTGCGGCCTTGCCGTGTGCCAGGCCCTATGCGAAGCACGTTGCCTGGCTGTTGCAGAGGGCGAGGGAGGGTCAGTGAGGCACCGGAAGTGCTGGTGGCCAGTAGGTGGCGGTGCTGCTCCAACTGTGTGAGCTCACGCTCCGACCCCACCGCTGCCCCCCCCAGTACGCCGTCTTGCTCACCATGGTGCTCACCGTCTTCATCAAGTACGTGCTGCACTCCGTGGACCTGCAGAGCGAGAATCCCTGGGACAACAAGGCAGTGTACATGCTCTACACCGAGCTGTTCACAGGTGAGGGGTGCCCGGGCCCCCCACGCCCAGCCCGGCTCTGCCTCCCAGCCTGTGCGTGACCTGCCTCCACCCCCCCTACCCCCCCAGGCTTCATCAAGGTTCTGCTGTACATGGCCTTCATGACCATCATGATCAAGGTGCACACCTTCCCCCTCTTCGCCATCCGACCTATGTACCTGGCCATGAGGTGAGCCTAGCCCTGCCCTTTACCCTCTGGCATCTTCACTACCCCCTGCCCCCCTTCATGCTAACTGTCCTTTTAGGCAGTTCAAGAAAGGGGTGACAGACGCCATCATGTCTCGCCGAGCTATCCGTAACATGAACACACTGTAAGTGGGCCAGCCTCTGCCCCGCACCCTGCAGTTCTGGTCCCAATGCGCAACCCCCACCCCACCCCACCCCGGCTATCCGCAACATGAACACACTGTGAGTGGGCCACCCTGCCAGCCTCTGCCCCGCACCCTGCAGTGCTGGTCCCAATGCGCACCCCACCCCCACCCCACCCCACTAGGTATCCAGACGCCACCCCCGAGGAGCTCGAGGCCATGGACAACGTCTGCATCATCTGCCGGGAGGAGATGGTAACCGGCGCTAAGCGGCTGCCCTGTAACCACATTTTCCACACCAGGTGAGAGCCCAGGAGCCTGATCCTGCACCTCGAAGATAGGCTGGGGGCTGGGGGCAGCCCTGCTGATCCCATCTGCTCTCGGCCCCCAGCTGCCTGCGCTCCTGGTTCCAGCGGCAACAGACCTGCCCTACCTGCCGCATGGATGTCCTTCGGGCATCGCTGCCGGCCCAGTCACCACCTCCCCCCGAGCCTGCAGACCAGGGTCCACCGCCTGCGCCTCACCCTCCACCACTCCTGCCCCAGCCCCCTAACTGTGAGTGCCCTCTCGTATGGCCCACTCAGTACAACTTACCTTACTGGTCTTTTTCCTGGGCACGGGTCCCTGAGGTGATTGGAGGGGGGGGGGATGCAGGACTGCCTGGGGGGGGGGATCCCCTCACACCTGCCTTCCTTGCCCCACCCTTTGCAGTCCCCCAGGGTCTTCTGCCACCGTTCCCTCCAGGCATGTTCCCACTGTGGCCCCCCATGGGCCCCTTCCCACCTGTCCCACCACCTCCCAGCTCGGGAGAGGCGGGGGCGCCTCCCTCCACAAGTGCAGGTAGGCCTTTGGGGGACGGCCGGCCAGGGGAGGGGCGGAGCAGGCCCTGCAAGATCCCTGACTTCTTCTCCTGCTCTACAGCAGCCCTCTCCCGGCCCAACGGAGCAGCCGCCGCAGCCGCCACCTCCACAGTTGCTGGGGCCTCTGCCCAGGCACCTGGCCCTGCCCCTGCCTCCGAGGCTGGGCCAGCCCCCGCTTTCCCCTTCCCTCCCCCCTGGATGGGCATGCCCCTGCCTCCACCCTTCGGTAGGTTGGGCTGCCCTCGCTGTACAGGATGGGGAGGGCGCGCCAGGCCTGGCAGCCAGCTGAGTCCCTCACTGTCCTCAGCCTTCCCCCCAATGCCAGTGCCCCCCGCGGGCTTTGCCGGGCTGACCCCCGAGGAGCTGCGGGCCCTGGAAGGTCATGAGCGGCAGCACCTGGAGGCCCGGCTGCAGAGCCTGCGCAACATCCACACGCTGCTCGACGCTGCCATGCTGCAGATCAACCAGTACCTCACCGTGCTTGCCGCCCTGGGGTGCGTCGGGGCTGCCAGCTGTTGGGGCTGCTAGCTGTTGGATGTGTGGGGTAGGGGCTGCCAGCTGTTGAGGCCTGTCTGCATCCAGGGTCCCACCCAGCCTCTTCTGCTCTCACCCCAGAAAGCACATCCGAGTGCTCGGGAGGGGGTGATGTGCATTAGGACCCTGGCCTGGAGTCCGGCTGCTTCCCATCTGGCTGAAGTCACATCATTCCTAACGGGCCGGTGTGCTGCACGGTTCCTTAGGTCACACTCTGTGACTCCTGGGGATCCTGAGGGGATCACTGCCCCTGGAGGGCGGCAGTCTGGTGTGCGGCCCCCTCATTCACTGACCGACACCATTTGAAAAGGGTCGTCATCTCTGGCGAGCGGCAGGACCAGCATGGGCTGCATGGAGCTGGATCCCGCGGCGGGAGCTCCGACTCGCTTTGGAGCTCTGTGCAGCCAGCCTTGCAGTGGACAAGGGCCCTGACTGCACGGGCTCACACCTGTCTGCAGCCAATGGCCTTGAGCCACCCACTCGAGTCCAGTCTGTACACGTCCCTGCTGTCTGCTGGCCACTGGGCTCTGCCCTGCCAGATTCCCCAAAGGCCAGGAGAATCTGCCTGGTCTCGATGCCAAAACAGTCCCTCCTGTCCTCCTTAGGCCCCCCCGGCCTGCCACTTCAGTCAACCCCTCTGAGGAGGCTGCGGCCTCTCCAGTGGCTACTGCTGCTGCTGCCACCGCTACCACCTCCACAAGCGTCCCCAGCCCGGAGGCCACCAGCCCATCCCTGGGAGCCTCTCCTTCATCCCCAGAGCCTGAGAAGTCTTCAGGTAGCTGGGGCCCACTTCAGGGGATGGGGAGGGGGCAGGGGAACCCTTGGAGCTAAGGTCAGACCTCCCTGTACCCAGCTCCCGAATCGGTGGGCGCCGAGGAACTGCCCGAGGACGGGGAGCCCGATGCAGCAGAGCTCCGCCGCCGCCGCCTACAAAAGCTGGAGTCCCCGGTTGCCCACTGACACTGCCCCAGCCCGGCCCTCCCCGCTCTCCTGAGCAGCCCTCGCTGGGACTTGTCCTGCCACCAAGTGCCAGCTCCCTCTGCACCAGGGAGCAGCAGCCCCCGCCAAGTGGAGTCCCCAGCTGATTCGTGCAGGTGGTCCCAGGCAGCCATGGGGACCGACGGGGAGGGGTCATTCCCAGCTCTCTCTCCTGCAGCCCTGCCGCTTGATGGGGCCCAGCCAGGAGGGCAAAGGCAGCCCCTCAGAGCCGCCGCTGCCAAGGCATTAGGTGGCACGGCACTGCCGACAGTATTTGCTCCTTCTGCTCCAGGTGGACTGGTACCAATCCCCCCTCCTGTGTCCTCATCTCCCCAGAGAACCCTTGCCGTGGTGGCTGTGCCCCCTATGCCCGGTGGCATTTCCGTGTCTTTCTGGCAACCACAACTCAGGGAAAGAAGTGCCTGGGGGTGGGGGGCAGGTGGGCAACAGAGGGACCCTGCCCCACCCCTCCCCAGGCCCCTCTTCCCATGCCGCTTCTCTGAAGGAGACCCCTGATGTCTGGCCCCGCCCCCGCAGCCCTGGTCTAGCCTCCCAGCAGGCCTCTCACCAGCCTGCAGGACTGCTCTGGAGTTGGGAGGAATCAGAATGTCTGCCTTCCTGGTGTCTTCGGGCTTAGGCTGTCTTTTGAATTTGAATGTTTGATCCCAGGAAAAAGGAACAGGCATGTCAGGGTCCAGACCAGGGAGGGACCTCCGGGAGCCCAAGCCTGCCTGCCACCCCACACCCCCAATCTCTTCCCTCTCAGTTTTGTGTTACAGGAGTTGCTGGAGAGTTTCAAATGATTATTTAATTTGTAAATACTGTACAAATTTTAATAGCTTAAATTGTATATACAGCCAAATAAAACCTAGCATTAACAACTGGTAGGCCTGGAGTCCTGGGATCAGTGTGGTGGGCTAATGCCGTGCGGAGACTGGAGGTCGGTTTGAAGTGCTTGGGAGGGAAGCGTGGGCATGGCGCCGTCCTTGGACTGGTCCACCATTAAATCCCTTGGGAGATGGCCCTGTGTTCCGCAAGCAGAGGCCAAATCCAGGGAGATGAAGTGCCTTGCCATTGGTCGGCAATCCAGCAGGAGAGACGGGGAGCTGGGTCCTGCTTAGCTAGTTGGATGTGGGGATGGAACTCAAGCCTTGGGTACCTTCAAGGGATGGGGTGGGAGAGCACAGGCAGAGGACCATCTGCCTGCAACAACCCCGCACCCGCACCCCTACCCCGGGTCTGGGCCTCCCACCTCCATACCTGGGGGACCCTTGGACTCAACCCTCTGGGCGCATGTCTGAGTTCCCTATGTTTTCTGGTAGGATGCACCCAGTTGGCCTGTCTTGAGCACCCTCAGCCAAGCCGTGACGTAAAAGCACAAACAGCCCCGATGGGGGCAGGGATACTTCACACTCCCCCGTACTTAGCTGTCTTGGCAGGTCTCCAGTGTCGCTAGTCCCCCCCGGCCCTGCTGCCAGAGCAGAGGCTCCCGTTCTCCCTTTAGCAAGGCCTGATCCCGAGCCCCTTCACCCCCCAACTCTGCCCATGTCCTTGCCCCTGGTCTCCCGGGCCCAGCACCCCTCCGCCTTGCCCCTGGTCTCCCGGCCCCAGCACCCCTCCGCCTTGCCCCTGGTCTCCCGGCCCCAGCACCCCTCCGCCGTGCAGAAGACGTCAGAAGCCCTTCTCAAGGAGCCAGGCTTTGAGCGGCTGGTCGAAGTAACCCTTGATCCGCAGGGCACCTGTCACCTCATTGACCTGAGTGATGGGCACCTTCCCCAGCAGGGGCTTCAAAAACTCCTCCACGTCCTTCTGCAGGGCCTGGGGGGACACCAGCAATCAGGGTGGCCCACGTCCCACCCCCTCGGGGGACAGAGGTAGTCCCAGCCTCTTGGGTTCCCACCTCCTCTGCCGCCAGAGTAAGGGCCAAACCTTGAAGCACACACCCAACTTACCCAGATGTCCCCCTCCACCTTCCGGATCACGGTCATCTGGCGGTTCCCATGGGTGATGTCTGTGTACACTGGGATGTTGTGCATCCGAGAGCGCCGCACAAAATAAGGAAGGTTCGGTGGGGGGTCTGTGCCACCGAGGTGCTACAATTAGTCAATGCTTGTCAAGCTTCACCAGCCCCACCGTAGCCAAGGGCCCTCCTGAGTCTGCACAGGACCAGTGCATCCCACTGAGTCCCTGTCTCCAGAGTCCAGGCCAGGCCTCCTCTTCCCCTGAGCTTAGAGTGAGCACCAGTCTAAAGTAGAAACCAGAACTGGAACTGTGTGACTCCCAAGCCTGTGTCCTTGAGGACAAGTGACCTTCTCGGGGGAAGGGACCCAAGCGCTTGAGTTTTCTCAAAAGGTGGATCCCCTGTCTGGGAAGTCCCCCAACCTCATAGTGTGCATGGGTGCGAGGGAGCCAGGAAGCTCCCCTCCAGCATCCAGAGCCTCAGCAGCAGGGGAAGCAGGCAGGCCCCTGGGAAGTCTCCAAGCTCTTATCTGCTGGCTCACCTTGCGGGGGCTGCCAGCCACTGGGAGTGGGATAGTGTTCATGCTTTGGAGGGTCTGGGATGCTGGTAGGCGGTAACAGGCGCTCCACAAAGTGGTATTCGTCCACAGATTCCACGAAACTGGGGTAGTCAGGAGGCCCCTGGATTTGGCACTGAGGCAAAAGGAAAAGAAAAAATAATCACCATCCCTTTATCAGCCAGGGTCACCTACCCACCACAAGATAGAACACATATAGAGGCAGAGAAATTTGCATCCACAAAAGGCAGGCAGTGGGAAGGCCCCAGACTATGGCCAGAGAGCTCAGCACAGGCGGGCAGCAGAGATCAGGCACCCTGATGGTCCGTCTCACATGTGTTCACTTCGGAAAAACCAGTGAACCACAAGCCTGCCTTATAAGGTGTTTTTCAGTATGTTAACTCTCTCCCTAAACATGCTGTGAGCACATTCTGGTTCTGGACACTTAGCAATCTGGGTTCCCATCCTGCCCACACAGGCAACAAGACCCTCTTTCTGCAACATCTGGGCACGGTCCGAGGCCTTGTATGGGCAATGCGTTCACTTTTCTTACAAGTGAGGTATTAGTAGCCCTTTTTACAGCCTTGGTGGCAGAGTGGCAGTTTGAACCCACCAATCTCACAAACCCAGAGGGCACTTCTACTCTTGCCATGAGCCAGACAGGGGTTGCCAGGAGTCAGAATTGACTCAACGGCAATGAATTTTGTGGTTTTTACAATGAAATAGTAAGGCATTAAAGTTTTGTTTGCCTTTTTTTTTTTAACACTTCCTAGAAACCCTGGAGGCATAATGGGTTATGAATTAGGCTGGTCACTGCTTCAACCCAGCAGCCCTTCTGCCCCGCAAAGACGTACAGCCTCAGAAACCCTGGGAAACGGTTCTACCCTGTCCTCTGGGGTTGCGATGCGTGGGAAGGGGCCTGGAGGTACAGCACTTTAAGCTTTGGGTGGTGCCGCAGGTGAACCAGCTGCTGCTGCTCAGGTGCAAGGTGAGCCCGTCGGCTTCCGTAGATCTGGGCTTGGAAACGCTGGAAGCCGTTGCTACTCCGTCCTGTGAGGTCGCCATGGGTCAGAATCGACTCGGTGGGCACGGGTTTGAGGTCCTCCCATTTTCCGTCCGAAGACCCTTTTGAACACTTCCCCCGGCCGACACCCCGGCGTCCGGGGAGGCCAGGGGGTTCCAACAGGAGGCAAGGAGGATGGCGCTCTGGGACTCCAGACATGTCGCCAGTGGTCTGAGGTCGTGTGCTACCCCGTGGTTTTCTCTGCAAAGAACTAGACAGGTCTGACTAACCCCAGCTGCCCTGCTGCCTGGCTCCAACCTCCACGCTCCTCACCACAAGCTCCATCCAGCCCAGTGCCCCCGATCACGCCGACAGAGGGACGCGGGTTTCAGTTAATGATAGTGAGTCTCAGGCTCTCTCACCAGGTGCCGTAGCCCGCAGGCCCGCGGGACGCCGGTTGTCCAGCTCCGCAGCGCAAGCCGGAACACGGCCGCCGCCATCTTGGCCAGCCCCAGCCCCAGCTCTCGCCGTCTGCGCGCGCAGCCCTCTTGGCCCCGCCCCTTCCGGCGCCCGGCGCCAGGGACCGGAAGAACGCCTTAGAGGGGCGGAGTCCGGACGGCCGTCGGCGGCGTAAAAGCGAGGGAGCGCGCGGTCGCTCAGTAGTGACGCAGAACGCAGCGGAGGTGTGGACGTGCGCGCCCCCGCGTCTTCCTCTTTCTCGGCTCCATCTTCGCCGTACCCGGAGCGGGCGCTACCTTTCAGGTCAGGCTTGCGCTGCAGCGGGGTCCGGGAGGCGCCGTGGCGGGCCGGCTGTCCGCTCAGTGGCCGGGGGTGCGGGTGCGGGGTGTTCCAGCGAAACCGGGGCTGCCTTGTGGGCCCGCTCCGAGTCCCACCCGACCTCGCAGGCGAGCCCGGCCTTGCCCACGTGAACCCCCCGGGGGGCGCGCTCCTCTGCGACCCGCGGAGCAACCTTACCCTTCGCCTAAGACCTCCCTTTATTTCTCTAGCCGCCATTATGCAGCTCTTCGTCCGAGCCCAGGAGTTACACACACTCGAGGTGACCGGCCAGGAGACGGTCGCGCAGATCAAGGTAAGGTCGTAGGTGGCCCCTGGGCTTCTCCCCCACCGGCACCCCCGCGGGAGCGCTAACCAGCTGCATTCACCCTAGGCCCATGTAGCGTCGCTGGAGGGCATCGCCCCCGAGGACCAGGTGGTGCTTCTGGGAGGCTCGCCCCTGGAGGATGGGGCTATCCTGAACCAGTGTGGGCTGGAGGCCCTGGCTACCCTAGAAGTAACTGGCCGCGTGCTTGGAGGTGAGTTGGGACGGTGTGTGCTGTGAACTGTGTAAGCCGTGAGCTCTTGAGGCGGGTGTCGAGGCAGCTTTGGAAATGAAATGCCATCTGGAGTTCCCAAGAGGTTCATGGGAGTGTGTAGTTCTAGATCAGCCATTTGCCAGAACCTTGTGTGGCTTCTAATGTCTCCACTACAATCCGGAGGTCAGACTAAACTCTGAAGGCAACTTTCTGGTTTGGAACTAGGAATTCTGGCAGGAAACCCCAGAATGAGCCCCATCAACACGTTCTTGGTCCTAAGTCAGCCCTCGAACTTCCTTCTATTCCCATGAGGGTCTGGCTGGCCTGTAAAGGCTGGTGTTGGGGTAGTGTGGAGGGAGGGGGGGAAATGAGGAGCTGATATCAAGGGCTCAAGTAGAAAGCAAATGTGTTGAGAATGATGATGGCAGCAAATGTGCTTGGCACAATGGATGGATTGTGATAAGAATTGTACGAGCCCCCAATAAAATGATTTTTTTTAAAAAGGCTGGTGTTGAGGGAGGGAGGACCCTGGCTCTCCTAACTGTTCGCCACCCTTGTTTGCTTCCACAGGCAAAGTCCATGGTTCCCTGGCTCGTGCTGGGAAAGTGAGAGGCCAGACTCCCAAGGTGAGTATGAGAACAGGTGGTTTTCTCTGACAGGTAACGGTCTGCCTTCCCTCAGTAGGTGAGGCCAAGGGAAGGGGTACTACTGTACTGGCCGCAGGGGTCTGATTGGCTCTCTGCGTTTTCAGGTGGCTAAACAGGAGAAGAAGAAGAAGAAGACTGGCCGGGCCAAGCGGCGGATGCAGTACAACCGGCGTTTTGTCAACGTTGTGCCCACCTTTGGCAAGAAGAAGGGACCTAATGCCAACTCCTAAAGCCTTTAAAACCCTGGCTTGCTCTAATAATAAAGCCATGTCGCCCCAGGCACTCCACTGTGGTCTTCATTTCTTGGGCAAGGCTTCATTTTGTGTCTTAGAGGTGTTGAGTTAGGAAAAGGCCCTGGTTCCGGGTGGGGTCAAGGTCAGTGGCAGAAAAGTAAGCGCTGCCATCCCCCCTGGGGGAGTTGGGGAGACTCCACATGCTGCCTTCAGATGGTCTCTGTCTTTAACAAAGGAACCCTGGTGGCAAGTGGTTACACACTGGGTGGTGGTCCACAAGGTCCACAGTCCGAGAGGAAACCCGGGCTTTCCTCCCCCATAGGGGTAGTTCTGCCCTGCCCTAGAGGGTGGTCATGAGCCGGAACCTGGTGGGTGGGATGTTCCTTAGGGGAAGAAACCCTGATTTGGCCCGCCCTTAGAAATGCATCCGGCTGTGGCATTGGCGTTGGAAAGCACGCTTGCTGCCCACACTGGCACCCTGATGACAGGTGCTTCCTCGGTTGCCTCATCACTGTCGTCTCCGGTAGTGCATTGCTGTAGCTCTTAGAAGCAGAGTTGCTCGGGGCTGAGTCATGGTCAGAACTGAAACCCTTGGTGGCTCAGCAAGAAGATCCACTCAGCTGAAGGGTTTAAAGGTGTTGACAGGTTAAGCATTGGACAGGTTGGCAGTTTGAAACCACCAGCCACTCCTCAGGAGAAAAATGGGCCATTTCTAATCCCATAAAGATTCTAATCCCATGGACAATACCAGAACATTGCCCCTGGCACCAATCCCCATGCTCAGTGCAAACCGCTCAATCCTTTGGGAGAACAGGACAGTCAATGGGGTGTGGCTCTGGGAACTGCTAATAGACAGTGGCTTGAGTTCTGTATCTGGAAAAACACTTGATGGTATCAACGTGATAGGCTCATACCCCAGAGGAATAGCTGACTTTTTTTTTTTTGCTTCTTTGGGTTTTTGTACTGCCTTTGGTGTTTCTGGTCTTTTTTTTCTCCTTTGTTGCTGTTGGCCTTGTGGGGTTTGTTTTTTATCTCCTGACAAAGTAAACCAGAGTCCTGCATAACCCATAGACAAAACAAAGTAGATGGTCTCTGAGCTCCTGCTGACCCCTACCTCCAGTCCCAGAACAGTTCTGGTAACATGACCCTGGTTGATACTGGTCTTCAAGAAGAGATCACTGAAGATAAGGGTTGGTTTTTTTGGGGGGGGTTTGGTTTTAACTTTTAAGTCATTTTATTGGGGGCTCTTACAGCTCTTAAAACATTCCATACATCAATTGTCTCAAGCATATTTGTACATATGTTGCCATTTCTAGAGCATTTGTACTTGAGCCTTTGTTATCTACTCTTGTGAATCCTTAATTATATATATATATATATATATTTTTTTTTTTCAGTTATATATTGTTATTTCATATCTTACACTGTCCATTGGATGTTACAGCAGTGTGGTGAAGAAAGCAGATGGTGCCGGGCTATCAGAATAATGTTGGGTCTTGGAGGCTTGTTTCCAACAAGCAGCCATCTAAGAAGAGTCCACGAAATCCACATGGATTGGGATCACACCAGCCTGTGTGATCCAAAGATGACCAGTAACAATCCAGATATGACAAGGGAAAAGTATCCACCCTTTAGAGAACACCCAGTTGGTAGGCTGTGGAGGAAGGTGGGAGCCCAGTCAGACTAATCCGATTAAACCTCTGGCAGATCCTTTGTGACCACAGGCAAGGGACTGGAGCCGCTTTACAATCAGAGATTATTGTGAACTTGACTATAGTGGATCCAGCATGGCATAATTTATTTTTTATCATTTTATTGGGAGCTTTTACAGATACAACAGTCCAAAGTTCAATCACATTGAGCAGTGTTGTACAATTGCTACCACATCCGGTTTCAAAACATTTTCTTCTTGAGCTCTTGGAGGTCAGCTGTCCTCTATCCCCTACCCCTTAGCCCCCCAGGAACATTCCTTTTTTTTTCTTTAATAGTTGTTTTGGGGTGTTTTTTGGGGGGGCCATATCTTACACAATCCAATATATCCATTCACATACAACTCCGTTGTTCAATCCCATTGCATGGGGTCACAGTCACTATATACATATATATATACATTATATATATATATATATACAGTCACTATATATATATTTTTTATTTTTAATTACACTCTCAGAAACTCACAGGAACAGTTCTACCTGCTCTCTCGGGTCATCATGTATCAGAATTGACTTGATGGCAGTGAGTTTGGTTTGGTTTGGTTTTATGAATATAGCCTATTAGGATACAATGGAAAAGATCTTAGATCCTAGACTTGGACCTGGACTGCATGAGTTTGCACCTGGCTGACCTTGACCCAATTGTTTAATCTCTTCAGAGTTGCTATGGAGATCAAATTAGGTACTTAGATCAGCACCTAGCATATGGGTAATGCAAGTGCTGGCTGTTTTTGTCTATTGATGAAATAAACACACCACTGACCCACCCTCAGGCCTCTAGGAGCTCCAATTCCTGCTGAGAAGTGGGCACAAAACTAGTACAGTTACACATGTTCATAACCTCAAAGAAAGGCTTGTGAGGAGATACAGGGATCTTGGGAGTTCAATAGCCTACTCTCCCTGGAGCTCCCTTAGGATTGGGCCCCACAGAATTTTACTATATGGGTAGTAAAATGTAAATATATGTAAAAAAAAAATATATATATATATATATAAATCTAGAATGGTTTTATTGGCATAATTGTTTGAATAGATTGAGTTGTGCAAGCCTAACAATTTCAGAACATCCAGTTTTGTACTCTTTATTAGCTCCCCACTCCCCCCAGCCTCCCCTGCCACGACCCTAAGAAATCATTATTGTAGCTGCTGTCTCTAGATAAACTTATCCCGGATGCCATGGAGAGAAAATGATTGTATTTTTGGTGCTGGGATGGAGTGCACTTGATAAGCGCAGTTGGGTGAACAATTGAGTTTAACTGAGGAGACAGAAAAGAAGTGGGCTTAGGGGAGAGAAACGAGCTCAGATACTTGTTAAATGTTGCATTTTGCTGAAAGGAGTGGGAATGTCCCTGACATCCATCCTCGCTCAGGTGCTCTCCCCTGGTCCTTTCTGCCTCTTAATTGCCCCTTTATTGGTCTGTGCCTTAGCACTGGCTCTCCAGGTTCAATCATGGCCAATGAAGGGAGACCAGAGAGACCCGAATTTGTAAATCGTGGCATACCAGAACGGAAAAAGTTAAATGCCGTATTGAAATGTAGTCTTAGCAAAACAAGGGCAGCGTGTATTTGCGTGGCAGCCAGATGCAAAATCAGGCCCAGCAATCAGTCTCCCACGCAGGCTCCTGGCAGGCCCCCCTAAGGTTCTTCCCAGTCACTCCTTCTAAACTGTCCATAACAGTTAATGCCACTCCAGTTAATGCCCCCTTTAAGACAAAACCGAACTCACTGTCATTGAGGCGATGCCAACGCAGGCTAGAACTGCCTCTGAGTTTCAGAGACTGCCTCTGTATGGGACGAGAAAACCCATCTTCCTCCCTCGGAGCACCGGGTGGTCTCAAACTGCCGACCTTGCAGATCGTATCCCAAGGAGTAACCACAAGCCACCACTGGGTCTGGAAACCCAGGCGCAATTCTACCCTGTCCTATAGGGTCGCTGTGAGTCGGTATCCATTTGAGGGACGTGAGTTTGGCTTTGATTGTGGGTCAGACGCACCATAGGCCTCAAAGGTAGCTTTGTCTTTTCAGGCCATTTGGGGGGCATGTTACGGCGCAGCCACTAGGGGGCGAGCTGGCACGCGTCGAGCGGCCGCCGGAAGCGTTCGGCCGGCGTCTATGCGTCATCTCAGGGGCGGGGCCCCATGGGAGGGGGCGGGCCTCCTACGCCTGCGCCTGTCCCGCGTCCGTGCCGGGCCCAAACGCGGCGGGGGCGCAGGGTGGAGCTTGGCTCCGAGTGGGGACGGCAATTGCCGAGCGTCCTCGTGAGCGCTTCGGCTCAGCGCGCCCTCGCTTCCGCAAAGAGCGGAAGTGCCCGAAGAAGCGCCGGAAGTTTCCGAGCCACCCGTGTGCGTCTGCGGCCGGCTCCGGGCGCCAGTTGCCATGGAGCCGGCCGGGCCCTGTGGTTTCTGCCCGGCGGGAGCGGCCCAGCCGGCGCGCTACACCTGTCCGCGCTGTAATGTGCCCTACTGCTCGCTGAGCTGCTACCGGGCGCACGGCACCTGCGCCGAGGACTTCTACCGCGACCAGGTGCTGGGCGAGCTCCGGGGCCGCACCGCCTCGCCCAGCCGCCTGGCAAGCGCCCTCCGCCGGCTGCGGCAACAACGCGAGGCCGAAGATGAGCCCGAGGAAACAGGCCTGAGCCCTGGCCCGGCGCCCGGCGGCCTCTCAGGCCTCTGGGAGCGGCTGACTCCAGCCGAGAAAGCGGCTTTCGAGCGACTGCTGAGCCGCGGCGAGGCCGGGCGGCTGCTGCCCCCGTGGCGGCCGTGGTGGTGGGCCCGCGGGCCCGAGCCGCGGCTTCTGCAGGAGCTGGACGACGCGTCGGACCGTGACACCGCGGAGCCAGAGCCCGCCCCCGCCAGGACCCCACCGGACCCCGAGAAGGATGCTGCCGCCGATGCGGAGCCCGACGTCTCCGAGACGGTTCTTGGAGACGACGCCCCGGGGACCGACGCGCCCGCGGTGCCCACCCGCATCCCCGCGCTGGCCAGCCTGAGCCGCGGCCCGGCCTCGCCGCTCGTGCGCTTCCAGCTGCCCAACGTCCTGTTCGCCTACGCGCACACGCTTGCCCTCTACCACGGCGGGGACCAGGCGCTGCTCTCCGACTTCTGTGCCACGCTGCTCGGCGTGTCCGGGGCCCTGGGTGCCCAGCAAGTCTTCACCTCCGCCGAGCAAGCCCTGCAGGCTGCCGTCCATGTGCTGGAGGCCGGTGAGCACCCGCCTGGGCCACTGGGCACATGCGGTGCCATGCGCGAGGCCGCCCGTATCCTGCTGGGCGAGGGCCCGGCCAAGCAGAAGGATTACACGCTGGCAGCGCTCGGACACCTGGCGCAGATCCTGGGCAGCGCCCGGAAACGGGCAGGGGCGGCTAGAGAGCGGGATCGCCTCTACAGGGCCCGGAAGAAATGCCAGTTCCTGCTGGCCTGGGCCAACGAAAACGAGGCGGCCCTCACGCCCCTGGCACTGGACTGTGCCAGGGCACACCGAGCCCGCGCCTTGTCAGCTGAGGAGATGGCCGCCCTCTCTGGAGAGATGGAGCGGCTCTGGGGCGGCCCTGTGCCGCCTGCCCGGCCGACTCTAATCGAAGAGCTTCCTGGCTGACGGGGGGCCTCTGGGTCCTTAATAAAGTTGTGACTGGTCTTTCTCGTTGCCCCCATTAACTTCAGGCAGCCCACGTGGCAACCAGGCGGTTGTAAAGGCCCAGCCCCCTCAATGAGAGAAAAATGACACTGAGAGTTCAGATGTTTATCCATAAAGGGAGAGCAGTCCTGCCCCCACCCATGGATTTGGGGGCACGTTTTATTCCCGTACTCTAACCCACCGCTCTCCAAGGCAGTCTAACCCCAATTCTCTGGCCTTGGGTGGTGCTCAAGGCTGGTGGGGGCAGGCCCTTGAGTCTGGGCGTGCCCAGGTGGCTGCTGGTGGCCCAGTGAGCACATCCCCCCAAGCCTCAGTAGATACAGGGCAGGATTCGATAAGGCACCTGCCGGCAGTACTTAGCCCACGCCAAGCCATATTTCTGCAGGCAGTGCTGCTCGTCGCGGGCCTCCCGGTGCACCAGCAATGCCGTGAAGTACAGGACGTAGAAGTAGGGCAGCAGGTGGGAGGTTCCTGTGAGGAGGGTGGCTCTGTCACCACCCAGCCATCTCCCTGGGCCAAAGGGGATGCACACCCAAGGCGAAGGACAGAAGGCTCTACAGGGGTCGGCAGACAGGCTGACCTCATGTTGAGTCCACCCAGCTCCCAAACTGCCCTTCCTCATCTGTTCCACCCCCAATGAGGCTCCGTGGGGTCTCCGAGGCACCTCTGCCCTTTCCTCGCCTGCCCGGTGCCCACCAAGCTCACCACAGGTCAGGGACCATGCCAGAGCCATGATGATGTCTCCGAGGTAGTTGGGGTGGCGGACCCAACCCCACCACCCAGACACCAGCAGCTGCCGCCCTGTGGCTGTGGAGATGGTCTCCAGCCCTAGAGAGACACACACAGGTCAAGGGGGTGGCCCCGGCACCCCAGGTACCCTGCTTCACCCATGGCGCCACAGAGCCCCAGCTCACCCGCTACGCTGGGGTCCGAAGGATTCTTCCGGAAGGTGTTTTTCTGGGAATTGGCACTACGGAAGATGTAGTAACCAATGGCTGGGGAGAAAGTGCGAGAGGGGTCAGGGCCAGGGTCCACCCTCAGCTTGACCTTGGCCATCCACCCACCTTTGGTCCCAGCCCAGATGCAGTACATCTGGCACCCCAGCGCCCAGCCCAGGATGCTACAGAAGCACTTGAGGCTCAATGCCTTCCTAGTAGGTGCCGAAGAGGCCAGGAATGTGCCCCACTGACCCTTGATGAAGCAAATGAAGGAGGCCATGGGCAGTCCCAGGGTCTGCGGGTGATGCAGCAGGAACTGGGCCTGCAGGCTGTAGGTGAAGGGGACCCAGGCTACATCTCCAAAGACCAGCATGAAGCCCAACCCGTCGTGTGTGATGTCCATGGTGGTGAGGATGGCTTCCTGCAGACACGACCCGGTTGCACCACCTCAGTCCCCACGAGGTCCTCCAGCACCTTCCCCTGCCACCCCATCCACGCCCAGTCCAGCCTCACCTCGTGCCAGAGAGCATCAGCGACGTAGAGCAGCTGAAAGCCATTGACCAAGCACATGGCCAGGGAGGGGCTGCCCCGTCGCTCTGCCTCCTGCACCAGCAGCGCCAAGTTGATGAGAACCTGAGGGGCAGGGGACAGGAGGCTGTCAGCCTCACCCCTCTTGGAGCCATTAGCCTGTCTCTGACTGGGGCACAGGGTGGGGTGGACACCTCTGCAAGCGCTCCCAGTTCAGGTGCTCCTGCCCTGTCCTGTGGGGTGAGTAGGTCCAGAGAGCAGCCCGACCCTCAGACACCAGAGGTAGGGCAGACCTGGCTTTGAATCTCAGCCTTACCACATGGGCGGGGCCACACCCTTGCCAATGCCTAATGAATCCACACATGGAAAGCCATGACTCCTCTCGCACTTTCTCCCCAGCCATTGGTTACTACATCTTCTGTAGTGCCAATTCCCAGATCATCGCGTGTGTCCCAATGGCCCCCAAAGAGCTGAAGAGCAAATGACATAATAAAGCACTAAGTGTGGGCAGTGGGATGTGCACGGGGAGCCAGCCTGCTCTGGGCACCTCCTTTAGTGGCAGTGGACTAGGCACACTGGTGGTGCCGTCAGTAAGCATTGGACCGCAAGGCCACCAGCAGCTAGCTCTGCCAGGGAAAGATGAGGCTGGCTGCTCCTGTAAGGATTTATAACCTCAAAACCTTCCTAATGCCAAGACCCTTTCATACAGGTCCTCATGCTGTGGTGACCCCCAACCATACAATTATTTTCATTGCTACTTTCATCGCTGTCATTTTGCTACTGTGATGAATTGGGCAACCCCTGTGAAAGGGTTGTTTGACCCCCCCAAAGGGGTCCACATATTGAGAACTGCTGTTATATAGTTTCCCATGAGTGAGAATCAATTTGATGGTACTGAGTGAGTGATGAGTTATTTTTGACTGCATGCCAGGGGATTTGGTTTGGGGGTTGGGGCGCTTGAACCTGTCAAAGGTCACCTCTCCTAATGCCCGTGGCCGTCTGAGGAGAAAGTGCTCATCCTATGCTATGCAAAGTGAAAAACTAAACTCACTGCCGTCAAGTTCATTCTGACTTATAGCGAGCCAGCCATAGCGCAGAGTAGAACTGGCCCTGTGGATGGCTGAGACTGTAACTCTACAGAAATAGAAAGCCTCCTCTTTTTCCTTCCTAGTGGCTGGTGGTATCAAGCTACTGACCTTGCAGGGAGCCGGCCAAGGTGTCATGTAACCATTGCGCCCCCCGGAGGCCCTCAGAGGTTAGGAAACAGCTTCCGCTTTGGAGGGCCAGGGCTAGTTTCCAGGTCCCCGGTGGATGCCTGGCGCCTCCTCCCCCCTGTCCCACTCCCCCACCATGAGGCTATTTCCAGAGTTCAGAGTGGTATGAAAGATCGTGCCAAAGAGGCTTTTTTTGGGAGACCTTGGCCAAAACCCAGCCTGGGGGCCGTAGCCAATGAACATAGCTGAAGTGTCATCGAGGTCCTCGAGTGCTGGATTCTGTCACCAAACAGCACTTGGCCTGTCCCTCCGCCCCTGGACACATTCCACACCTGACTGGTTTATTTAAAATCGCACTTGCTCTCGCCCTCCATCTGTATATTTTTATAGCATTTATCCTGTCCTGACATGCTACAGTGTATTTTCTCTCTCTGGAATGTATCTATATTACTGTACCTTTCTTTCTGAGTCACCCAGGGCAAATGGTGGACTCACCAACTATTTATGGATGGATGAATGAATGAATGATTACAGCAGCGCAGTTCGGGCTGTGGCCTGCTCAAGCCCTGTGCCCTCCCACCTGCCACCCGGCTGCTCAGCCCCGCCCAACATACCCAGCCTATGAGGCCAGGCCGCAGTTCGAAGAAATATTTGAGGTCCAAGAAGCAGATGCGCGGGTTGAGCTCCCTTCCCATGAAAAAGTCGTAAATGGGATTACCTGAAGAATAGCAAGAGGGTGAAAGTGCTGGGCAAGCGCCCCCATGTGTCCCCATCGTTGATCCCACGGGATCTCTCTCACCTGAGTTCCCCCCAGGTGCCAGGGCTGAGACAGGAGCTACCAGGGCCTTCAGGTAGAGGAGGAGGCTGAAGAGGAAGGCAGTGAGGGTGACGGCGAACGCCAAAGGCAGGAGCATTTCAGGGAGGGCCCCCAGGGGCAGCCCGGCTGACACCCCTAGCCCCAGCAACAAGGCGGTCAGCACCAGGGCCTGGAAGCCTGAGACAGTACACAGTAAGTCTAGGGGGTTGGCTGGGGCCTGTGCACCTCCACTGCCTCCCACACAGGCAACCTGCACCCCAAGCCATTGGAAGGCCACTTTGGCCACCCAGCCCGTCCCTGCTCAGCCTAGAGGGGCCGCGGATGGGGTTTTGTGGATGAAGCAGTGGAAAAGACGGAGAGTGAGCATCCCCAGTATGTCTTTGGCGGGGTTAGGGGGAGGGCACCGATTCCCAGGGATCTCCTCCCCGCAAGCGTACCCACCCGCCACCCACTCCGGCAGCGCGGGTCAGTCCTCTAAACACCGTTAATGGGGTACTGCAGCCGACTCTTGTCCTTCAACTCCAGCCCCTCGGCCACCTGCGGGCAGAAAGGGCCTCCGATAGGTGTTGGGGTGCCAAGCTGAGGGGCCCGGCCCCGCCCCGCCCTCGGCGGCAGAGCCCGCACCTTGCGCGCCGGCAGAAAGTAGAGCGCCACCTGCAGGCCGAGCCAGGCGAGCCACAGCAGCAGCGCCTGCGGGCTCCACAGCGCCCCGAGCCCTGGCAGGCAGGGGGGCGGGCCCAGGAGGCGCGCCGGCCCGGAGCGGGCCACCAGGAGCAGGTGGAACACGGTGGCCGGGAGCAGCAGCATCAGTGCCGCAGCGCCTGGGGAGAAGGGGCAGACAAAGACCAGGGCCAACTCGGCTCGGCTCCCCGTGACGCCCCCCGACCCATTATGGTCCTCTCCCCACCCTCCCACCTCCGCCCCGCATCTCCCAAGACTGGCCCCACACAGGACCTCCGGTACCTCGCAAGCCTTCACACACACACACACACACACACACAGCCCCTCCCCACGCCCCGCCACCAACCTTCTGGGTCCTACGGGTCCAAACTTCACCCGCTGGTTAAACCCCTGCCCCCGGTTCCCCCTCCTCTCTGCCTGATTACCCAGAGGTCCCCCGAATTCCAGAGGGGTCCGGGAGCCCTGGTGAGCCACGGCCTCCATTCTGCCTGGGAGGCTCACCAGCCTTGTCAGGCAGCACGGCCCACCCCCACAGCCAGCCCCCGAGATGGGCGTCGTGGGGTGGAGCGCCTGGTCCGCTAAACCGGCACCTGTCGGCCGACGGGCTGCTAGTGCCCAAGCCTTTAAGTGGACCCGCCTCCCGGCCCATCCTGGGCCCAGCCGATCATCCAATCAGCCCTCGGGGGCGTGCCAGACGCACACTCCGTTGCCGGGGGCGGCATTTGAGCAGGAGCAAAGCAGACCAAAGGGAACAAGGCAGTCTTTATTGGCGGGAGGCCAGGGGGAGAGTAGGAGGGAGGGGCGGCTTAGCCACGCTCGCAGATGACCTCGACGACGCTGGGCTCCATGGGCACTGGGTCCGGGCAGCGCAGGGCAGCCGAGGCCACCACTTCGTCCAGCAGCAGGTGCACGAGCTCTTCGTCGGCCACGAAGCGCCACAGGTAGAGCTGCAGGAAGTGGCAGTCCACCTGCACCTGCTGCAGCCCGAAGCGCCCAAAGGTGCGCAGCCGCACGCACTCCAGCAGCGTCTTCAGACTGATCTTGATGATGCCAGTGAGCACCGAGACCTGCAGCGGGGGTGGGAGTGGGAACACGGGCCACTGCTCAGCCTCCGCTGGGGGAGTGGCAGCCAGGTGCTGGGCAGGGGCCAGGGAACAGCGGGGAAGCACCGTCATTTTAAAGGGAGCGAATAAGATGGAGTGGATCCCAGCACCCCAGGGAGAGCTAGATGGCAGTCCTGACTTGGGGACAGTGCTGATTTAGCGGCAGAGGAATACCAGGTCCCTGAGATTAGGGTTGTGGCAAGTGCCTTCGAGTTGCGGCAGGGGCCAGGGTATGACTAGGCATTGCCAAGGAGGTCCCTGGATTACTGTGGGCCCCCCACTACTGCTGAGTCAGTGCCAGCTCATAAGGACCCTCAGGTACAGGGTTGGTTGGTCCACGTCCCATTGGGTCAGTCGGTTGTGACATAGGGAACTGCCCCAAAGGATCGCCAAGGCTGCAATCTACCCTTCTCCCATTCCGCGGGGCTGGCGGATGGGCTCAGCACCAGCATGTCCTGCCTGCTGAAGTATCAGCAGGAGTGCCATCAGGGGCCCATCCAAACCCACTGCCCTCATGATAGTCCCGACCAGTCCAAGGGCCATGGGCAGGGCCAAAGAGGCTAAGCACACTGGGTCAAGACCTCCCTGCCCCCCCCAGGCTGGGAGAAAGCCAAGGTCTGGAAAAGGAGCCTTGGGGCGGAAGGGGTCAGGTAGGGGAGGGGGCGGGTCTCTGGGGAAGCTCCACCACAAGGCCAGGGCCCCAGGACTTCTGCATGCTCAGGGGGCAGGGTCTCGGACCGGACCTTGTTGAACTCCACTGGGCTGAACACATCGATGCGTTCCGAAAACAGTTTCTGGATGTTACTCAGGAGATTGGTGTCCATCGGGGCACTAGAGGGGAGATGCCCGGATTACCGCCTGCCCCGCCCCCTCATTCCCACCTCTCCATCTCGCCTCAAGGGCGCCTCCACACAAGGCCAGACCTGGGCGTATAGCTGGGTGCATAGCGGCCCTGCTGCCGAGAGCTGCTGTAGACGGAGAAAGTCCTCTTGCTAGAATCACTGCTCTGGGCCTTCCGAACACCCTCCTCGTACAAAAGCCCCACCTGTTGGTGACAGTCATCACTTCGGGGATGCCAGAAGCTGGAGGGGAGGGGGAGGGGAGGTGCCCCCCAGGAGCCCTGGGCTTTGGGCAGCAGGTCCAAGTCACCTATGTCTTTGGTATAAGATTCACATGGCTGGCACTGGGCCTTGTACCTACTTGGCATCCTGCCGCTACAGAAACAATGGGGGGTTAAAGCAAGGTGGGACACTGCGGCTTCGGGGCCTCTGTTTCACTTGGGCAGGGTGCGAGGATAAAGCTATAGAAGATGGCACTGTCCACGCCAGGCGGCAGCTGCCCAGGCCGCACCTGAACGTCGATGGCTGTGGTATCTTCCACCACCCGCTTCATGACAGCACGCACGTTGCGTGGCTCCAAGGTGCTGAGCCAGTCGCGCGTCTCCACACTCTTGCGCAGCATCTGCGATATAACCAGGCCCTGCACCTTCACGTAGTGGGTCAGCAGCCGCCGTGCCGTCTCCCGGGCCTCGGCACACAGCGTGCTCACGGCTGTCACCGGAGACTGGTCCTGAGCCGGGGGAAGAGCAGAGAGGCTATGGGGCAAGAGCCTTGGGCTGGAAACGGGAGGTGGGCATAGGCGGGGCTCTTGGAGCAGGCAGATACCTGCACCAGAAACTGTTCATCGGCCAGGGTGAGGATATAGGAGATGGTGGCCGTCTCGTAGTCCAGGCAGAGACGGGACAGCAGTAGGAGCAGCGCCGGAGGTGTGGCGCTGCCCTTCTCCCCCGGGCTGTCACAGAAGCTCTGGGCCGTCTGGCACATGGAGCGGATGAAGCCCACGATGAGGCCCTCCCGGACGCCCTGGCTGCAGAATTCGCCCTGCGGAGGAAGGGGCCCCTACTGACGTTTCCTTCTTCCAAGAAGGAACTGCTGCCGACCCCAGGTCTCAGCCCTAGGCAAGCCAGCCCCTCAACACCAGCAGCTTCACCCTGAACTCCAGGACCCTGGACAGTGCCCCTTCGTGGGCGAGGGCAAAGAAGGGACAGAGCGGCACCCAGGAGTCTGCTTCACAGGGGTGCAGACCAGACCCCCTCTGGGCCAGCCACTCCCTGGGTCAGCCTCCCCCAGGACAGCCAGAAGCCACAGCGCCAGGGTTCCGGGCGCCTGTTCCGAGCCCCCCAGCAGGTGTGTTGGGGGCCCAGGAGCAGGCGTACCCGGAAGTAGGGCTTGTTGGAGAAGGACACTTCCTTTGCCGTGAAGAGGTGCACAGCGGCCAGCGAGGCCTTGATGTGGCTCAAGATGGCGCTGGCTACGTTGGCCAGCAGCTCAGCCAAGCCAGGCCCTTCCTTCCCGGCCAGGCGTGGTGCAGCCAGCACCTGGCGCACATCGGTCAGGCAGCTCAGGAAGGCGGACCGCAGGCCCTGCAAGTGGTGGCCCAGGCGCTCGCGGGCCACCCGCTCCACGATTTCCGTGGCTGCCTCAGCCAGCCCGGCAGCAGCCAGCAAGGCCCCGGGAGCGCGCAGGCGCCGGTGGAAGCGGTCCAGCGCCCGCACCAGCAGGGAGTTGTCACTGCCGCCCTGCTCCTGCGCCAGCCGCCGCTCCACCAGCGTAAAGTAGCGGCCGCCCAGCTCGCGGGCAAAGGCAGCCAGCTTCTCAGCCCCCGCAGTGCCCTGCGCTGCGAACAGCTCTTGGTAGGTCGCGGCCACGTGGCAGAGGCCGCCCACGAAGCCGCTGCCTCCGCGGTCGGTGAATTCGAGGATGTCCGGTGCGGGTGGGGAGGGCCCCAGGTCGGCCTCCAGGTCCCGCAGCTCGGCCTCCAGCCTTCCGCGCGCGTGCGCCAGGAACTCCTCGCACAGCTCCTCGGCCGGCTCGCCCAGCGCCAGCAGCAGCTCCACGCTCTCCGCCTGCTCCGGGGCGCCCGAGCCCCCCTCCCTGCGGCCGGAGACGGCAGTGAGGGTCCGAGGCCGGGCACCCGGGGGCTGGTGGCAGGCATGCTGGAGTGGAGGGGGCCGCGGGCGCCCACCTGAAACGCTGCCGGAGCTGCTGTGCCAGGCGCGCCGTGATGACCTGGCAGTCGTCCTGGATGGCGCGGAAGGAGGGCAGGTGCTGGTACTGCTGCAGCACGGCCCGCGCGCGGCCCTGGTAGCGCACCGCCTGCCCATAGGCGCCCAGCTCCACGCACTTGGTGAGGCGCGAGGGCAGCTCGAAGAGGAACTGCAGCTTCCGGAGCAGCGCGTGGACCCCTGGGGCGGGGGAGGGGAGGGATGGTGGTGGCGTTAGCTTAAGAACAAGGCCAAGGTGGAGTGGGGTTGTGGGCAAGGGCCGGGGCCCACCTGCCAGCTTGGTGATGCGCTCATGGCGGTCCTGTAAGGTGGCACTGATGCGCGCGCTGAAGTCCGTGATCACCGCCATGTTATTCGCCAGCCGGTCCATCTCATCCTCCATTTTTCGGAAATCGTTTTTCATCTTCCGGATGGTGTCTGGATGGGCAAGGGCCAGTAGATGAGGCCCCGGGGCTGGGAGGGGCAGGGTGCAGGAGCAGCACTCGGCTTGCGATGTGCTTCAGGGTCAATCCCGCCCACTCACCCACCGGCCTTCACCAATGGGCACAAAGTTGCTTCTGGGGGTTGCCTAGCAAGACAATTGGCGCAAGTTGAGTATTTCCCTGCGGGCATTTCACCTAGGTTTCTAAGGAAGATGCTCAATGGCTGAGGAAGCAGGAAGGCATGCCTTGCTCCTGAACAGGCCTCACCTCACAGCTGTGTCAGTTCTCCAGAAAGGAGACCTTTCACATCGGACAGGTGGCATTCAAACACGGGGGGAGGGCAGGTGGCTTAATGAACACTCTTGAGACAAGTGGGAAACCATCGGAGAGAGAGCTGGTGGTGCCTCAGAGCTCACGACAACATACACACACTCGGCCGACGGACAGAGGGCTGGCTGATGTGTTCACATAATATTAGGGGTTCAAAGTTTGTGCTTGTAAGCCCCCACACTCAGAAGCCATCAGAGAAACGAATGCAAGTGGGTGCTCAGTGAAACCCACAACAGCGACATGAAACACACACTCAGCCACAGCACACAGTGCGACTCTTCCTGTTGTCATCAGGGGCCATCAAGTCGTTCTGACCCAGAGTGACTTGTGCACAACAGCATGACACACTGCCCGGTCCTGCGCCGCCCTCACAACTGTCCCCGTGCTGGAGCCCACTCGTGCAGCCACGGTGTCCACCCATCTCGTCGAATTGCTCTTTTGGGCTGGCTCCACTTTACCAAGCAGGATGGTCTTCTCAAAAAAAAAAGGGGGGGGGGGCGGGACACGGGGGGTACAGGAACTGATAATAAGGGCTCAATACAAAGTAAATGTCTAGAAAATAATGGCAACATATGTACAAATATGCTTGATACAATTGATATATGGATTGTTATGAGTTTTAAGAGCACCCAATAAAATGATCTTTTAATTACAAAAAAATATTTTTAAAGCAGACTAGAACTCTCTATTGCAACAACACAGGGTGTGAGACAGCCCGTTCGTTGGCCAGGGAGATGACTCCTCATGAAGCATTTGCGTGGGATGAACAGGTATTAGGTTCGGGTGCCAGAACTTTGGCTGGAGTCACTGGAATTTCACTGGAGAATGAGTGACAAAGGGAGTAAAAACCAAGCAAAGACAAACAGAGGCCCCAGAGCCTGGAAGGACGAGGGATCATCTCTCTGGGGATCTGAGCAGGCCTGGCCGCTCAGGGGCACCGGGCTCTCCCAGGAACGCTTGCTTGCTGACAAGCCTTTCCACCTGCGACACAAGCTCCTCGCAGGCCTGTCAAAAGCCACAGCAGGGGTGCAGGCCCTTTTTTGGAAGACGTGTGAGCGCATGACACTTATGAGGCTCACTTCAGAAGACATCCTGCCTCTGCTTTCCAAGGGGTCAAGGCCAAACGAAGATACTCAATCTGAGTCCGAGCCCCTACTACCTGGCCTTTCCAGCACCATGACACGAGAAACTGAAGCTGCATCATGGGAAAAAGACGGACACTGACATCCTTTGAGACTTCCACAGCAGGGGGTAGACTCTGTCCTTCTGGACTATGGCCTTAGAAGTCAGCCGCTGGCACGCTTAGGTGGGGTGGGGGTGGGGGTTGTTGGCCCCGAAGGAGTTAACAGAGGACGAAGGCAGTGTTTCCATGGAGACGGGATATCCTGGCACTTTAGGGAAGGTCTGGGCACCTGGGCTGCAAAGGGCTTGGAGGCAGCTGTGGGGGCAGGGCCTGTCCGAGGGCAGTGCTCCTTCCCTTGAGTCTCTGGAAAAGACAGCTTGTTATGGGACCCCAGTGCTTAGTCTGCCCCTCGTTCCTTGTTGACTTGAGAAAGTGCATGCGGGCTTACTAACCTATGCCCCAGTTAGCAGAGAAGATAAAAGACCACGCAGGGCGGTCATCAGTGCACACCCAGCCCAAGGTGTCAGCCCTTCGCAGGAGTTAACCCACATTTCCCATGTCCGTGTCTTCATTTCACCGCCCGCTACAGGGGCTCTCTGGACGGAGGCTTGCTGGTTGTGCTGCTGTTGATCTGGGTGCTGATCGTCTCGCTGTGTTCCCTTTGGGAAATCACGGGCGGGCTCACTGTTAAAGACGGCTTGGTCGTACAATGAAGCACAATGATTTGAAAAAAACACTGAGAAGAAATGAACGGATTTCAGAGTTGCTCCTGCGAGCGGAGGGTAGACTGGGAGGCTAGGGGAAGCCCAGCTTAAAGGACAAACTGATCTGTCTTGGAAGAAGCAGGGCCAGAATGTTCCTGAGAGGCAAGGGTGGCCGAATCTAGCTCCAGACAGTTTTCTCGTTTTGTTTTTTCCCCCAGCTGAAATGGAAAGCCCACCTCCACCCCCAACCCCAAACCAAACCCCGCCTTCGTCAAGGGTGCGCTTAGGTGGGCTTGGGAAAACCCTCAAAGTTGTGCAACCAACACCACTCCTTCTTCCGCAGCAGTCATGAGCCGTCCCACTCCTATGGTCAGTCACTCGCGACTCTCAGCCCCGCTCCCTCCCTTCCCCGAGTCCTGTGGCAACCATCCGTCTCCCTTTGCTGCTCTGTGCACGCAACGTTCACAGAACGCGTCCTTGGTGTCTGTCTGGCTTCTTTCACTGAGCATCCTGTCTGCAAGGCTTATCTGTGCTTAGGCATTTATCCGCCCTTCACATTCCTTTGGACTGAAGAGCCTTCTCTTGTACGAATATACAACAGCCACTTGGGGCCATTATGACCAATGGTGCTAAGGAAACCTAACGACCTAATGGAGTCTGGGTGGTGCAAAGGTTAAGGGTTGGCTACTAACCCAAAGGCTGGTGGTTCAAGCCCGCCCAGAAGCTCCACAGAAGCGACCTGGCAATTGGCACACGTGATGATTACAGACTCAGGGACAGGTGTGCTCTTACACGGAGCCCCCGAGGAGTCAATATCGACTTGCTGGCACCTGACAACATGATGAAACTTACAGCTTTTTTTGCACGTGGAATCGCTGGCTCAAATAGCAACTCTATGCTTAAGTTTCTGCGGAACTGCCAGGCTGTTTTCCATGGGGGTGCACACTCTGTATTCCCCCCAGAAGTGCAAGAGCATTCCGAATTCTCCACATCTGCGCCAGCACTCAATTATTTTCTTTAAAATATTTTTTTCTATTGCTATCAGTCATGAGTTGTCCCCCAAACTGTGCCAATTTAAACAGGCAATGATCCCCAGTATCATGTGGTTGACTTCCACTCTGTAACATGATGTAATTATCCTCTATGTTGTGAGGCAGGATTAGGGGGGCTGGAATTTGGGTCACAGGTTGCAAGAGAGTGTGCCTCCGGTCCCACCCCCAGTCAAGTTACACTTGTGTTTGAGGCTCACTTTTTCTCTTACAGGACATAAAAGGAGAACAGGGTCAAGCACAGAGGACTCACAACCACCAAGAAAGAAGAGCTGGGAGCACAGTGCCTCCCTTTGACCTGGGGTTCCCTGTGCTGGGAACCTCCTACACCCAGGAGAAGAGATTCCAAGCCACGTGTGAAGAACACCCAGAGCAGAAGGTCACAGAGTCGAGGATGCTCCTTAAGAGCTGACAGAGAAGCCCTCCCTAGACTGGCACCCTGTATTGAGGCTGCTAGCCTCTCACCTGTGAGAAAGCACATTTATTTGGTAAAGTTAATCATTGTGGTAATTACTACAGCAGCAGTAGGTAACTAAGGCATCACCCTAGTGCTATGTTATTGCCTCAATTTACATACCCATAGGAGCACTGGTGACAGCGTAGTGGTTATCCAATGGGCTGCAATCCGCAAGGTCAGCAGTTCGAAACCACCAGCCACTCCTCAAGAGAAAGATGGGTCTTTCTAGTCCCAGAAACAGCCAGTCTCTGAAGCTCACAGGGCAGTCCTACCCAGTTCTGCAGGGTGGCTATGAGTCAGCATCCACTCAGTGGCAGTGAGGTTTTGCTTTTTGGGGGGGTTTCTTAAGTGGCCTATGGACGTGGCACCATGAAGCCTGAACACTGATGCATTGGAAGGGTGGTGCTGGAGAAGAAAGCTCAAAGTACCACGGACTGCTAAAAGGGCAAACCCGTCTGTCTTGGAAGAAGTAAGGCCAGAGTGCTCCTTAGATGGCAAGATTTCATCTTACACACTTTGGACATGTTGTTAAGAAAGACCAGTCCCTGGAGAGGGACATCATGTCCGGCAGAGGGGCAACCACAACGGGGAAAGCTCTCAAGGGGTGGATGGACACAGTGGCTGCAACAGTGGACCCAGCACAGGGACAGGTGTCAGGAGCGCTCAGGACGGGGCAGCGTGTCCTTGTGTTGTGCATAGGCTTGGTCTGGTGGGAACAGACTCGATGGCAATTAGCAACAGTGACAAACGATGCTGAGCATTCTTGATGTGCTTAGTAGTAATGTGTCTTCTTTGGAGAAATGTCCAAATCATTTTTAATACGGTTGCTTACCTTTGTGCCAAATTTTAAGAATTTTCTTTGAGAGGGAGGGGGAAAAATGAGGAGCTGATGCCAGGAGCTTAAGTGGAGTGCAAATGTTTTGAGAATGATGAGGGCAACGAATGTACATTTATGTGCTTTACACAAGTGATGTATGTATGGATTGTGATGAGTTGTATGAGCCCCCAATAAAATGATTTAAAAAAAAATTTTTCTTCATAATCTTGGTATTAGGTTACCAAATATATAATTTCCAAATATCCCAAGGCTTGCCTTTTCAGTTTTCTTGATAGTGTCTTTTGAATTACAAGTTTTTAATTATGGTACAGTTCAATTTATTTACTTTAAAATAATTTTATTGGGGGCTCATACAATTCTTATCACAATACACACATACATATATTGTGTCAAGCACATTTGTACATTTGCTGCCACTGTCATTCTCAAAACATTTGCTTTCTACTTGAGCCCTTGATATCAGCTCATCTCCCCCATCCCTTCCTGCTCCCCCCTCCCTCATGAACCCTTGATAATTTATAAATTATAATTTTGTCTATACAGTTCAATTTATTATTTAATTGGGCTGCTGAACTTGTTTATTGGTTCTAATCGCTTTTTTTGGGGGGGGCAAATCCTTTAGAGTTCTCTACATATGAGAAAAAGGATCTCATAAAAGATCTTATTATTTACAGTTCACTTCTTTCTCAATCTGACCTTTCGTAATATTCTCTTGTAGCCCTTATTTCTATAAGGCAGATTAACAGGGTCTTCTTTCATTCCTCACAGTGGAGATTCAAGTCTTCTATTCCGTACTGAGTCTGACGGCGGGCTTGCTGGGTTTTGCTGACTTGTCTGTGCTTTTTTTCTAGTGCTGTTTTGCTGGAATCTGTTTCCGTTCGTTGCTCTGGGTCTAGTCTGCTCTTTCAAGATGGAAGACTAATATACTGTCTTTAGATCTCTTTCTTAAAAAAAAAATTACTCCTTGCTATCAAATTGATCTTGACTCAGAGACCAGATAGGGCAGAGTAGAAAACCTCATCTGCCTCCTGCAGAGCACCTGGTAGTTTCGAACTGCTGACCTTACGGTTAACAACCGAATGCATAATGCATAACCCAGTGCTCCACCAGGGCTCTGGGTAATCTTTCTTTTTCTTTTTTTTTAAGTCTGTTATTTACTCCTTTTTTGTTAGATTGCAGAAAAGGATGGAAAACAATTCTAAAAGGAAGTATTATTTTGTGAAAACATTAGCACATTTACACAAATAACACACAGCTTATACATATATTTTTAAGGAACCTCACTCCCCTCGTACGTTTGTAAGCTATGCGCATCACAGGCAGGTACAGTACTTGCATAGGTACATTATATGCCAAAATATGGTCACTTAAAATTTTCTTAAATCCTTACAACATGTAGAATTAGAAATGAGATGTCTGAAACCCTTGGGAAATCATTATAAGGACTTGATTGGTTATTGGAGTTTATTTACGAACTTGAGCTGTTAGTAACTCATAGTTCACTTTCCATTGTTGAATTGGTCCACCTTTATTATTTTTTTGGATCAACCTTCTTAAGGGCGGTGTTTCCTTGTGAGCACTGATTTGGTTGCATCTATAATTTCTGGCTGGTTGTTTTCATTTTCAATCCTCTGAAATTATTTCTAATTTCCCTCGTGATTTCCTCTTAGATCCACTGGTTATGTGGGAGTGTGTTGCTTAATCGCCACATACTTGTGATTTTCTTAAAGTGGTTAATGTTTCTAATTTTATTTCATTGTGCTTAGAGAACATAATTTATGTGATTTCAATTAGTATTTTGAATGTATAGAGACTTGTGGCCTAATTTCATTTT